AAAGATAGAAGCTCCATAATGAACATCCTCCCAATGCTGATGGGCTCATCAAGGGCATAATTAAACAAGTCCTTGAGAGCTGCATCATTATAATCCAGCCCCTCCGCAGCACTCCTGAACTCCATGGCGAATTCCTTCAGGTCAGTCCCCTTTTGACGGAGGGAATTCAATGCTGCTACCTGGAGCATGCGTTGGTAGAGGGGGCTGCAGGTAGTCGAGGCTGGAAGCTGGAGTGAGCCCATTCTGTGCTGAGTCCTCAAATGACTGTTTCGTTTTGTCACGGTGCGTGCAGAGAGATGAGGCGAGGACTCAAAGATGCAGTGAATGGGCTCTTTATTAATAACAAAAATAAACAAAACTAACAAAAGCTACCCCGAGGGGAAAAACAGGCAGGAAGGCCAGAACAAGGAGCACACAGACACATCCAACCACATACGACGAATAACGAAACAGCACAGGACTGCAAACACAGGGAGACTTAAGTAGGGCAGGTAACGAGGGAGACACAGAATGAATAACTGAAACAATAATGAGGTAACAAGATAGGCGGGGTCAGACAATCGATAGGAGAAAGCACATGGAACTAAACAAACACGACACAAGCCATGTGCTTACACAAGCAAACAGTGTCCTCTGGTGGCCATCCTGGGCACACCAGCTGAAGACTGTGACAACAGCGGCAACATGGCTGCCCGAGCGAACAAACAGACCCATAAATATAATCATTTTTGTCATTAAAAATTTTAATGAAAAGTAATAATTTGTTTATTTTACATTCAGTCGTGTGTTCATATTTATGGTCATGTTATTCAAAGAACTGTTTGCAAAAAATGTTAAAAGTAAAAGTTTGCTAACGTTATCATTACGTTATCATTACTGACTGCACGATAATGCCACAACATATTTTATGTCTGATCAAGGTGATAACCACCATAGACATAGGGGGCTAGCCCCTCCAATAATTAGAAATCACTAAACCTTTTTCTCAGAATCGCCAATTTGAGAGAAAGAGATGAAAGTTGTGTGTGTCTGTGCGTCTCTCTTTACAATGAGTGAGTTTACTTCACAAACAGCATTATTTCGCCGTGGGGCAGGATTGACAAGTTTCTTTGCTCCTGCATGTGTGAGCTGCGTGATCTCTGATATGTGTGTGTGTGTCAGTAAGCAGCGCATTAATATAGAACGGTAAGGCTCTAATGCACACCAGCATAGGTATGTGTATTGTAGGCCACCACCGCGGAAGCTGCAGCAAGGCTAGAGGTGGACTTGCTTCTCCCACTGTGGGCTAGGAACTCCACAAACGCTTCAAAAGATAGAAGCTCCATAATGAACATCCTCCCAATGCTGATGGGCTCATCAAGGGCATAATTAAACAAGTCCTTGAGAGCTGCATCATTATAATCCAGCCCCTCCGCAGCACTCCTGAACTCCATGGCGAATTCCTTCAGGTCAGTCCCCTTTTGACGGAGGGAATTCAATGCTGCTACCTGGAGCATGCGTTGGTAGAGGGGGCTGCAGGTAGTCGAGGCTGGAAGCTGGAGTGAGCCCATTCTGTGCTGAGTCCTCAAATGACTGTTTCGTTTTGTCACGGTGCGTGCAGAGAGATGAGGCGAGGACTCAAAGATGCAGTAAATGGGCTCTTTATTAATAACAAAAATAAACAAAACTAACAAAAGCTACCCCGAGGGGAAAAACAGGCAGGAAGGCCAGAACAAGGAGCACACAGACACATCCAACCACATACGACGAATAACGAAACAGCACAGGACTGCAAACACAGGGAGACTTAAGTAGGGCAGGTAACGAGGGAGACACAGAATGAATAACTGAAACAATAATGAGGTAACAAGATAGGCGGGGTCAGACAATCGATAGGAGAAAGCACATGGAACTAAACAAACACGACACAAGCCATGTGCTTACACAAGCAAACAGTGTCCTCTGGTGGCCATCCTGGGCACACCAGCTGAAGACTGTGACAACAGCGGCAACATGGCTGCCCGAGCGAACAAACAGACCCATAAATATAATCATTTTTGTCATTAAAAATTTTAATGAAAAGTAATAATTTGTTTATTTTACATTCAGTCGTGTGTTCATATTTATGGTCATGTTATTCAAAGAACTGTTTGCAAAAAATGTTAAAAGTAAAAGTTTGCTAACGTTATCATTACGTTATCATTACTGACTGCACGATAATGCCACAACATATTTTATGTCTGATCAAGGTGATAACCACCATAGACATAGGGGGCTAGCCCCTCCAATAATTAGAAATCACTAAACCTTTTTCTCAGAATCGCCAATTTGAGAGAAAGAGATGAAAGTTGTGTGTGTCTGTGCGTCTCTCTTTACAATGAGTGAGTTTACTTCACAAACAGCATTATTTCGCCGTGGGGCAGGATTGACAAGTTTCTTTGCTCCTGCATGTGTGAGCTGCGTGATCTCTGATATGTGTGTGTGTGTCAGTAAGCAGCGCATTAATATAGAACGGTAAGGCTCTAATGCACACCAGCATAGGTATGTGTATTGTAGGAGCTAGACGATGTATGATGACGTGTAACGGTGTAGTAGTGGTGTCCCATTTCTTAGGGGAATATTTTCACCCATGGGTGTCGCTAGGCTTCGGCTCCTCCCCGTCTTTCAGCGCATTCTTTAGTCCGCAGACCGTGGCGGCGCAGAGTGAGAAACAGAACCAGACCCGTAGCCAGCTATGAGGTCACCGTAAATTTTCCATGTTCAAAAATAAAATTTGTTCTCTGAATGACTAATTGCTGTTAAACTCCTCATATGAATGTCTGCATGACATGTATAATACAGTTAAGACAGTTTGCAAGAATTTTTATCGTCCGTGGTATGAAAATGATCGCGGCGAGACGCTGCCGGAGTGAGACTTGAGAGAGTTGCCAGATCCAGCTATTATAAGCGTTTTTGGACTTGTCTTTTTCACTTAATTTAACACTTTAGAAAGATAATAAAGCAGGAAGTTTCGGTTTAGGGTCAGCCATATATTTATCTTATCTTATTAGCAAAATATTTGAAATAATTTTGGTTTATTTATTTGTTTTTTTCGTTTTTTGTTTGTTTTAATAGCAATATCTGGCAACACTGCATCGCCGGCACTTAAACTGACAGTAACAAAAAAGCCCACAGACAGGTTATTGCTGAGAGGATACGACATTTGGGAAATGCAAAAAAATATGATATTATCTGTCAGAGACGTTATCAATACTGTCAAAAACAGTATCATTTAACACTAGTAGACAGATCTGTTGAACAAGTAGTTTACAGAATGAAATGAAATACGTAAACACTAGCCATGAAGAAAGTCTATGCTATGTCATTCAGTATTGTAGTTTTTTTTTTCATAAATCATGCTATAAACATTCAAAAGAGCACTAGACAAAGTTATCAGCAATGGTTATTAATAAAAACTATAACCATAATATGTATTGTTCCATGAATAATAAACAACTGATAGCCTAAAATTATCCACCCCGTACTATAGTAAAGTATTAACAACGTTTGATGCAATAAATAGGGTATGATTTAAAATGATTATTCCTCCAAAACAGAGAAAACATCTTTCACAAACATCTACATGTCTGTCTCTTTTGAAGTGTTTATAGTGTATATAATGATTTGTATTTGTAGGGGGTATTATAGCACAATTCTTTAACACCATCATCTCTCCGGACCTCACTCATTTTAAAAGCCTGGCTACAGCCATGAGGACAAGGTGTGTGTTTATCGATAGATTGTTATAATATCTGCATCTGTGCCGTTCTTTGTCATAAATACAGTTTACAAAAGGTCACGAGGGAGCAATCGGTTTCCCATCTACCCATCACACCACAGCTGTTTCCTCAAGCGAAAATGCTGCCCTTCACACATATGAACGTATACTTTATTAAACGATCATGTTGCTATTTTCATTCGAAAATGTAACTTTCAATATAAAACATATTACAGTACATGTGGCATTAACTACCATACAGTCATGCACAGAAATGATTAAAGACAGTGATAGACAGTACTCGAGCATAGAATGCGGTTTGTACTAGAAATGCAAACATTAAAATTTTGTGTACAGTAAACAGGTGTGTGTGTGAGAGAGAGAGATCAGGAAGACTTGTATTTGGCTTATTCATTACTCAGATGTTATAGCCATCTATGCAATACAGTGGAATACTGCAATAAGTTTAGTATACCACCCTACCCTATTAGTCAAACATTTTTTTTATTTTATAAATTGTTTTATACCCTCATTGAGGGCTGAGCCCCCCTAAAACAAAAATCCTAGAATTGCCCGTTTTCACCCCTACCCCTTGACACTCTATTTCAAGGGACAAGAGACAGGGGTAGGCGTAGGGGTAGGTGAAGGGGTATACAATAGAATTGAGATTGGGCCCAAATGAAACGGTAACGTTTTAGTGAGCTTAGCTCACCAAAAAGATTTGAAGCCACATGGGGGACCTCAGTTAGACCATTTGGAAGTAATCTAAGGATAGTATATCTAGTAACCCCCATTTCTTTTTTCTGTATGTTTGTTTTCCTCTACTTTCAAAATTATCTGGTTTATAAAGCAATACTGAATTTTTTTTTTTAACCAATGTCAATGCTGTATATTGAAATATTGAAAAGAAACAAGATTTGAGAAGTAAAGTCTCCTGCACCTTGCATTATGAAAACCACTGCTGAGTACATGACTTGGGCTTTGTATCGTCTTGCTTCCACAGCAAAATCCCTGGGATTTTTTGGGACAGCTCTCCCTAGAGGTCAAATACTCTGTGTGTGTGTGTGTGTGTGTTTGTTTACTTATTATTATGATTCAGGTAAGTGACCATTTGCATGATGCTGCATAGATTTTGGTATAAGGTTTTGTTGCGTCATCCCAGCACTCTGTCATTGTTTTAGAAAAAAAAGAAAAAAAAAGAAATAAAGGAAGAAAGAAAGCATGAAAGAAAGAAAGCTGTTAAAGCTTCCAGTCTATAACATACCGCTGGTAACAGAGACTGCATATTCTGATTAGAGTCTGCTATTGTTGCTAGGTAGACCAAGTTTCTGTGCAATATCTGCTGATACCTGGGAAGATGCAAGAGACATCATTGGTAAGAGCAAGCCAATGGCTCATGAGCTGAGTTTCCATCCAAAATGTTTAGCATTTGTTATGCGCATTTCTAAAAAAAACTTGAATAAAGAACATGTGAATCTTGAGGCAGGCCGCCTCGTCATGATGCTCTGAGAAAAACTGTATTTGCTGTAACAAAGCAATAATACAAAAATGTTGCAGAAGAAGTGCAATAGACCTTAGTCAGGGTAGCGCCATGTTTTCTTTTTTTTTTTTTTTTTTTACAGGAATGAAAATGATGCTGTGAAGCATAGGAGTACAGTGTGTTCAATTTACTGTTTAACAACAATGTATTTGTCTTTCCAACTTTCAGTAGAGAAAAATTCCATTTTTTTTCATTTCCTCCATTGTATGTGTGCAGGGTAAACATTTGAATTTGAGTATGTTAAATTTAGGCGAAAATACCAAAAAACGGTTTTTATAGTTGTGAATTACATTTGATCTAGGACCAGTGTATGCCATTCATAAGACTGCAAGTCTATCCCTCACAGCATCACTTTCATAATTTTTGTACAATTCAATATGGCGTCTACCATGACTAAGGTCTATAACGCACATAATGATGGCTCAAACGGCTATTCCCATTCGTCCCCAGACTCCTTTCGTCTAACGGTTCGTTTGAGCAGTTATATGCAATGCTTAATTGGACCAGTCCATTGCAAATGAACGCAACATGCTAGATAATCCACCTCTGCCTAGTGCAATGAATTTGTATGCAAATTTTGAGAGTTGACATTTTAAGTGTTTCCATTCAGGACATCTTATGCGCACTTTTAAAATGAGCAACAAAATAGTTGGATGGAAACCCAGTTGACACACCAGACCAAATTCAAATGCACTCCCCCAACCTAATTAAGATAGCCTAGAATATCATATTAAGAATTTTTAGGTTATTTACAACTCAGAATCTGTCAACAGCATATGTGGCATGCTGTCAGTTATCACAGGACATGATTATGACCTGGTTTACCATATTACCAATTACAATACATAGACAGTGGTTGGACAAAATCATGTGAATACGAGGGAAATATTTCAGTATTGAGGTGTTTTACCACTATTAATGCAGCCTGCAATGTAGATTCATACCACCTCTGAATAGTCTGCGGTGGAATGTCGTCTATCAATACCTTTGCCAGTTGCTTCAGAGAATCTACTGCTCACTCCTCTCTCCAAAACGATCCATAAAGGTTTGATAATATTCAAGTCAGGTGATTTCTCTGTTAGTACTCCACCTGTCCAGGTTTCATGATCACGACTCCATATTTTTCACCTTTTAGCATTAGTGTCTGTGATTAAAGTTAAAGCAGGTACAGCTCTTTCGTGGATGCTGGTTTCGTGAACTTGTCTGTGGTCAATGTCTGTGGAAACAGGGTCTTCGAAGTGAATATTGAGGTTTGCCACAGTAGTTCTGTTTTGTTTGGACACACTTGTTAGTCTTCGATGTTCACATCGTTCACTTTTGATTTTTGCCCACTAATCTTCTTTGCTGATAAAGTCTTGCTGCGCTTTGTGTCTGCAGTCATAATCATAAAGACTGTTGCTCTTAAAACACCAAACAATAGGGCTGTTAAGGTTACAGATGCTCCAGCTTCACCACACAACTTATACTACACTACCCAGAGAATATGGACAATTAAAAAATATATATAAATAAAAGATCATAGGACACAAATGTTAACCCTATAATAATAGGTGTTCACATTTTTTGTCCAACCCCTGTATATCCTAGTGTGAGGCTGTAATCTGGAATCATTGAAATGAACTGAAATGAACATGAGCAGGTCACAGAGCAGGCCACCGCTGGCCAGATGGCTGTGTACACCGCGAACAGGCAGCAGCACTACTGCTACAGACTATGTGTGAAACAGGCCTAATACAACAAAGAAGGACTAGCAGGCAACCAAGCAGCACTGTAAATAAACATGATGGAATCAATTACCATCCCTGTCTATTCAGCATTAGCGGAAGCGACCCTATAAACTCACACACCCTGATAAGCCCACTTCTAGATTTTAAAATAGAAAAAATACAAAGTATGAGGAAATGTATGTTAATCCACATGTTACTGTTATTTCACACTAAGAGCTAATCAAATATATCTTTCATTATTTATTTATTTATTTTTCTGGTGAACTGCTGAATATTATATCTGGTCATAGAACTGCTGAATATTTGTAAGAAATTAAAAATATTAAAGTATAAATTCAAGAGGTATTTCAAATAATGCATTCACAAGTTAGTAGTGCAGTGAAAGTAGTAAAATGTTTTGGAAAAATGTTTGCACTGCTATTTCTATCTGTAAATTATATTTTCATACTTATCTTTTTAGAGCAGTATCTCAGGTAAAATTTCAAAATTTCTTTAAAAAAATTACATTACATGTGTACAACAAATTATTATTTTTGTGGATTCTTTTTTATAATTTTTTTAATGTACAGAAACCGCACATTACAAATAGCCTACAACATACAATATGTCCTGTTTAGTGGTAAACAAATAACAAAATCGAGTGCAGCGATAGTTCAGTCAGGCCACGTAGGTCACTAACATTTTTTATTAGACCGGGGATATATATGTTGCGTTACAGCTCGGGAAGTATGATCAAACTGCTCGCAAAACCTTCCTCCCTCCCATCTATAAGTATCAAGCATATTATTGTTCATATATTATAAACATATATTATTGTGCACCTTTTGACTGTCGTCTTCTTTTTGTTTCAGATTACCAAGGCTTTTTAAGTCCTAGCTGTCATGGACCTCACTGCCGAGAGACATTCATTCTTCATAGCAAGCTACAGTATAGTCCTCCCGGAATTCAATGCAACATTTACATGTTACCACTGTTTCGCTTAAGACATTGCTTATGTTTCTTAATCATCCGTATATCACTCAAGCTGAAGGTTCCGGGGGGTTAATGCTAAAGCTCTCGTATGTGCAAATAATTATGAAGCGAGAACCCCCATAAGGAACCATACCGCCAAAGATAACTTGTGTTTCAATAAACTCAACATAACTTGCCAAAGTGGTCCTGCCTGAACTGTCACATACACACCTGAGCCTGCTATTCCCTCCACCAGTCACATGAGGGAGCCTCGCTCGAATTTTGACTTATGCCACCCCTGAAGGTCTTTCTCCACCGTTACTCACTGTACATACAGACACCCTGGACTATTCATTCTTTGCCAAGTCATGCCAATATCTGTATTGCAATTCTGAGCGTTTTCTTATATTTTGGATCCACCCTGTGTTTCGACCCCTGCCCATTTGTTGTTCTGTTCTAACGTCTCAGGTCTGTCTTTCAGATTTACTGTTTGGACTCTCGTTTCTTTTGGTTTTGACCCCTGCATGCTCTTTGACTTTGTTTCTGGTTTGCCCCATTAAAAAGACCTTCTCACTAATAGATCCTACAGCGTTTCCATTTCTAATTTGTCTCACAAACAGCATTCTGCTTTTACACAGGCTGCCAAAGATGCACAACCTAAAGCTGTGGTAACACTAGACTTTGAGCAAGCACAGTTTTTAAGAACACTGCAATGGTCATAATATGATGTCACATTTACAGCATGCTTATATACATCCGAAATGTAAAAATATGCAATCTACTGCACTGTACTGAAATGCTGCAATCCTGCAGATTTAAACTCTGCATTCTTTTAATTCAGCTAAGAGGTCAAGTTGTGACCTATTGATCTTCTATTGGAGATATCTTCAAAGTTGAACTCTGAAACACTGTGAAATTTGCGCGAGGTTGCATTTCCTGTCTCCCAACATCCACACGAATCGAAGGTAAATGACTGAAAAGTGTAGTGTGACCGGTCCTTATTAATAATAATAATAATAATTATAATTACAATTCTGTCTGTTGCATGCTGATTAGGCTGACTTTTGTTGGCCTCTAAGGACTCCTATTATGATGAGCCTGCCCATTAGTGGCCATTTTGGAAAAGGTGTTTTTTTGTGAGGTGGCATGTTTTTTGTTTTTTTTTTGCTAACAATACAACTTGAGATAATGATTCAACTTACTGCCCATTAGAGGAAGTGAGCAGCCATTTGATTTGTATAAATAATGATTTGTAAAGGGTTGCAGTTGTTATAAGTTTAAATGCTTAAATGAGCCACTGTATTCTATACATCCTAGAGGTTTAATCAGCTGGATTCTGATGGAATATATTGACTGTGCCCTTCTGCTGTCATTTACTCTGCAATCCTGCAATAACCGCCAGAGTCTTCACCGCACCAGAGACACATCACATAATGGCCACCATGCCAGAGTCTCTACAAGTCATGGCTGCCATGCCAGAGTCTCACAAAATGATCTTTCAAGACTCCCCTGAGAGTCCTTCAACTGTCTGCCACAGTCATTCTCAAGGCATGTCAATGCTCCTCCCAAAGCTGCATACGCTACAACTGCCTGTACTGTCACAGCCACAGAGGCCATCCAAACCTGCTAGTCCATCCATGTTTCTGTTCCACCATGGCCTTGTGGGATTACAAATGTAAGAATATGTCCTAGATCTGCTGATCCTACATCCTGACATATCATCACATGAAAAACTAAGGTGAAATACATTGAATTTAGCATTTATGGTAAAGATGATGACATCAGATGAATGCTTCTGTTAAACAAAGTTTGTAGCAAGAGGTTCCTGTCAGTTATTGTTCTATTTATTGTAAGTCAAATAAACCAGATTACTGAGACGCTCACCTTTTCTCTTTAAAGGGCTAGTTCACCCAAAACCATGTGAGGCACGTTTTATTATGGTTGGATGCACTTTATGGAATTCTTATGGACAGCTGAATGAAAACACCCACCCACTGCCAATGTAAAGCTGGGAAGAGCCAGGAAAATTTTTAAATATAATTCAGATTAAATTAGTCTGAAAGAAGAAAGTCATATACACCTAGGATGCCTTTAGGGTGAGTAAATCATGGGCTACTTTTAATTTTGGGGT